CCTAATACCTAACTACAATGTATGAATAAATCAAAATTATAATAATTATAGACTGCACCTTATATCATGGATAAAAGACATTTTTTAAGTTTTTGGTTATTACCTACGTTTTTCAAAAGGTTTAACTTTTATATCGTTCTCGAGTAACGTTTTTAAACTTTTTTTAAAACTTTTTTTTTAATTTTTACACTATACTAAACGCGGAATATATTATTAAACGTAGGTACTTAAAATGAGTTATTCTTATAATTTAAATTTAAGCTAAGATGCATAATTATAATTTATACGAACATTAAAATACCTTTAAGTTTTAAAAGTGCATTAGAAAAGTGAAGTAATAAACAAAAATTGTTTTGAACTCGGGAGCTTAACACATATAATTGAAAATACCAAAACATTACGTCAACGCATTGAAACAACAATAACCCTTCACTCGACAATTAATTATCAGCATTGCCGATTTTTCGATTACAGACAAATACTGTTTTACGATCCACGAGTGAAAATAAATTTSTATACAGTTGGAAAAAAATYATTGAAAAAACGCTGTTTAAACATAATCACTAAATATTTCGAAAAATATTAATGGAGGTATTAGTATTTTATAAATTAGGTATATAGGTTGTATAATATACCTACCTGCTCTGCTTCTTCCTACATAACTACTAWGCTGATACCAGTGATACCTATAGGTAAGTATAATGACAATAGAGCTTGAAATATTTTCAATAGTCATTAAATCTAAAACTATGCATCTTTAATTATTATAAAATTAAGTTTAATAATTAATAATAATAATACAGTACCTATTCTCATCAATCTCGCTTAATTCGTTAACTAAACCGATTAMATTTTTTTTCTAACGTAGGTAGGACAATAAAATGTATAAATAATTTATTCTAAAGTGTATGCATAGGATCATTTTTGTAAGTGACTAGAAAAATAGGTGTTAACTAAGTACTAGGCAGTTAATACATACGCCTAATTTTTATAAGTAGGTAAACGATAATGAAATGGCCCATCTACCTATTCCAGATTTTTTTTTTTAGTTTTTGAAAAATTGAAACAAAATGATTTTGGGATGAAGAAAAAATTTCATGATCATTAAATACATACCTAAAATATTAATAACCAATATACTTAGGTGGCTGGATGTCTAAGTTAATAGGTACTGTTAAATGTTAAATGTTAATAGTTTACCCGATGATAATAATATTTTAATATATTGTATTACCTACCTACGAATTTATTTAATTTTCAATTGAAAATCATACTGTGGCGGCATCTTACAGTTTACGTTTTGAATTCTTATCGCCATTTAATTTGTTATCAATTCGTAGGATAACAAGATAAATGTGATAATAGTTTGGAACAGTTAGAGATTATAGTTTATATTATAATATGTTTTTTAGGCTTAAATAATTTAATGTTTAGTACTATTTCGTATTGAAGACTTAAGCTTCAAGTTACCAATTGAATGAAAATATTATAATTCCCTACTGCATTTATTTATTTTTTAAATTTATTGTAAATATTATTTAACATCTAATTACAAAATTATTTTCAATTTTATTATTTTAATAGTAACATTAATGTTGTACAATTATTATATGTTCCCAGACAGGTTTAGCAGCAAAAAAAAATAAAATTAATCACATAACATTTTAAAGACTGATTTTTACAATATTATTGCCATGCCACCTAAGAAGAATGCCAACGCTAAAGGTCCCAAGAGCAGTTCCAAAACAGACGATGAGGGCAAAGGAAAAGAGAAAAAAGGGGGTTGTTCAGCTGTAAAAGTAAGGTTTGAAAAATAAATGATAGATGCCTGAGTTACATCTGAGATGAATTCCTCATGCTCTGAAGTTTTATGTAAATAATTGGACACTAATTATAACTGTCRAAAATGTTCTACTACATTTTCATCATTCATTCGTTTTATTGTTCGCTAATGTACTTATTTCAATACCTATATACCAACACTAAAGGTTTTTTAAATCAATTTACTTTGAGTTTAACAGCGATTATATTTTTTTTWAATTTAATAGTAGTTATTACATTCCATCAGTGATATTTCATTCAGATTTACTTACAAATATCTAATTTGTAACCCTAATATTACCCGTACTAGTTTATTCAAGTGTTTATGCCATATGTAATATAGACAAGATGAACATTGAAAAATGAATAAAAATCACTGATACATCTAGTCCTCTATAATTAATATCAATTACATTTTTATGACAAGCACGATTATATTTTATTTGTTTATTATTTTTATTTAACATTGCCTTTTATAATATGTGATGTATTGTTTCAGGTGAGACACATTCTGTGTGAAAAGCAGTCTAAAGTTTTGGAAGCTATGGAAAAACTCAAGGCGGGTGTAAAATTTAATGAAGTTGCTACACTATACAGCGAAGACAAAGCTAGGCAAGGTGTAAGTTAACAGTTGAGTTTTATATTRATGTCTTTATTGATAAGTTTTTATCCGTACCACTGATTATGGATAAAACAAAAATAGCAGGAATACTAAACAACAAGTATTTACATGTCTGTAACTTCTATTATAAGAATATAAGCCAATATTTG